CAGGAACTGGCAGTAGGACTGGGAGTTGAGCTTGACTCCATCCTCAACCCGAAAAGGCCCCACAAGCTCATCTTTGATGATACCAGCCCAAACCAGTACTCCACCTCCACCTTGCTGGCGTCTGAGTCGGACTGGAGCTCTCTGCCCTTTACCAATCCAGCCACGGGCCCATCCATCTGGCCCATCAAGACTCACTCTCATTTCATCAGTCCATAAAACCTTAGAAAAATCAGTCTTGAGATATTTCTTGGCCCAGTCTTGATGTTTCAGCTTGTGTGTCTTGTTCAGTGGTGGTCGTCTTTCAGCCTTTCTTACCTTGGCCATGTCTCTGAGTATTGCACACCTTGTGCTTTTGGGCACTCCAGTGATGTTGCAGCTCTGAAATATGGCCAAACTGGTGGCAAGTGGCATCGTGGCAGCTGCACGCTTGACTTTTCTCAGTTCATGGGCAGTTATTTTGCGCCTTGGTTTTTCCACACGCTTCTTGCGACCCTGTTGACTATTTTGAATGAAACGCTTGATTGTTCGATGATCACGCTTCAGAAGCTTTGCAATTTTAAGAGTGCTGCATCCCTCTGCAAGATATCTCACTATTTTTGACTTTTCTGAGCCTGTCAAGTCCTTCTTTTGACCCATTTTGCCAAAGGAAAGGAAGTTGCCTAATAATTATGCACACCTGATATAGGGTGTTGATGTCATTAGACCACACCCCTTCTCATTACAGAGATGCACATCACCTAATATGCTTAATTGGTAGTAGGCTTTCGAGCCTATACAGCTTGGAGTAAGACAACATGCATAAAGAGGATGATGTGGTCAAAATACTCATTTGCCTAATAATTCTGCACTCCCTGTATACTGACTGCCAGGTGTAAAGGGCGGAGCTTATAACAATGATTGACAGAGAGCTATGATGGAGGCGGCTCTCTCTATACTGACTGCCAGGTGTTATCAGCGGAGCTTATAACAATGATTGACAGGGAGCTAAGATGGAGGTGGCTCTCTCTATACAGACTGCCAGGTGTAAAGGGCAGAGCTTATAACAATGATTGACAGGGAGCTAAAATGGAGGTGACTCTCTCTATACTGACTGCCAGGTGTATAGGGCAGAGCTTATAACAATGATTGACAGGGAGCTAAGATGGAGGTGGCTCTCTCTATACTGACTGCCAGGTGTAAAGGGCGGAGCTTATAACAATGATTGACCGGGAGCTAAGATGGAAGTGGCTCTCTCTATACTGACTGCCAGGTGTAAAGGGCGGAGCTTATAACAATGATTGACATAGAGCTACGATGGAGGCGGCTCTCTCTATACTGACTGCCAGGTGTAAAGGGTGGAGTTTATAACAATGATTGACCGGGAGCTAAGATGGAGATGGCTCTCTCTATACTGACTGCCAGGTGTAAAGGGCGGAGCTTATAACAATGATTGACAAGGAGCTAAGATGGAGGCGGCTCTCTTTATACTGACTGCCAGGTGTAAAGGGCGGAGCTTATAACAATGATTGACAGGGAGCTAAGATGGAGGCGACTCTCTCTATTCTGACTGCCAGGTGTATAGGGCGGAGCTTATACCATTGACTGAGAGGGAGCTAAGATAGAGGTGGCTCTCTCTATACTGACTACCAGGTGTAAAGGGCAGAGCTTATAACAATGATTGACAGGGAGCTAAGATGGAGGTGGCTCTCTCTATACTGACTGCCAGGTGTAAAGGGCAGAGCTTATAACAATGACTGACAGGGAGCTAAGATGGTGGTGGCTCTCTCTATACTGACTGCCAGGTGTAATGGGCGGAGCTTATAACAATGATTGACAGGGAGCTAAGATGGAGGTGGCTCTCTCTACAGGGCCGGCGCGTCCATAAGGCGGCACAGGCGGCCGCCTTAGGGCGCACCGGCTCTGGGGGCGCAAAATTCCAGTGACCGGCAGGAGGGAAGTGCTCCCTCCTGCCAGGTCACCTCCTGGATCCCCGGCGCGGCGTGCGGCTGAACTGGATGCCGAGGGAGCTCTGATCTCTCTGATGTGCTCCCTCGCAGGCTGTTTACTGATGACGTCATATTCCCGCTCCCGCGGCAGCAGTAAGCAGCCTGCGAGGGAGCACATCAGAGAGATCAGAGCTCCCTCGGCATCCAATTCAGCCACACGCCTCCCAGCAGCCCCACTGGACCACCAATGAGATACCCACGCCAGCTCTCCAGGTAGGGAGGCTGGGTGGGAAATGTAAATTTAATTTAGATTATTAATGTGTGTGTGTGCATGTGAGTATGTGTGTCTGTGAGTTTGTATGGTTCTGTCAGTGTGTGTGAGTGAGTGTGTCTGTCAGTGTATGAGTATGTGTGTCTGTCAGTGTGTGTGTGAGTATGTGTGTCTGTCAGTGTGTGTGTGTGCATGTGTGTCTGTCAGTGTGTGTGAGTGAGTGTGTCTGTCAGTGTGTGAGTATGTGTGTCTGTCAGTGTGTGTGTGAGTATGTGTGTCTGTCGGTGTGTGTGAGTGAGTGTGTCTGTCAGTGTGTGTGTATGTGTGTCTGTCAGTGTGTGTGAGTGAGTGTGTCTGTCAGTGTGTGTGTATGTGTGTCTGTCAGTGTGTGTGAGTGTGTCTGTCAGTGTGTGTGTATGTGTGTCTGTCAGTGTGTGTGTGAGTATGTGTGTCTGTCAGTGTGTGTGAGTGTGTCTGTCAGTGTGTGTGAGTGTGTCTGTCAGTGTGTGTGAGTGTGTCTGTCAGTGTCTGTGAGTTTGTGTGTGTGTGTGTGTGTCAGTGTGTGTTTGTCAATGAGTTTGTCAGTGTTTGTGTGCCTGTCAGTGTGCGTGTGAGTGTCTGTCAATGAATGAGTGTGTCAGATAAGTGAGTCTGGCTGTCAGAGATGTCTGTGTATTTGTCACTGAGTGTGTGTGACTGTCAGTGTTTATACACCCCTGACTGTAGCGTGGCCAAGCGGAGTGTACCGTGGTACAGGAACTTCGCTCCGCTCAGCCATGCTACAAGAAAGGTAGGAGGCACACCAGGAAGGGGAGGGGACCACTATGGGGGTGGGTGGCGCACCAAGGGACAGTGTCTGTGAGAGATACCCTAAGGAGAGATACCCTAAAGTACAGGAAAAGGAGGGAGGGGGAGAGGAACACTAAGCGACAGGGAACAGAGGGGGGAGGGGAGAGGAACACTAAGGGACAGGGAAAGGAGGGGGGAAGGGAAAGGAACACCGAGGAACAGGAAAAGGAGGAGAGAGGGGAGAGGTACAGTAAGGGTCAGAGAAGGGAGGGGACCATTAAGGGACAGGGAGAGGGGCTGGATGTGAAAGAAACACACACCGGGGCTTGAGAAGGAAAGAGACACAAAGGGGCTGGGAGAAAAGGAGTCACACAAAGGGGCTGGGAGGAGTAAGACACAAAATGTGGGAGGATGTAAGAGTCATACAAAGAGGAGAGATAGGAGACACACAAAGGCAAAAATAGGAGATAAAATACCCTAAAGGGAGTCAGATATTTAAAAGACGGGATAAGAAACACAAAAGGGAGGTTAAGAGGCACATGGGTGAAGATGTTTTTGGGGGGGCGGAAAAATGCATCTTCGCCTATGTACCCAAAATTCTTTGCACCGGCCCTGTCTCTCTATACAGACTGCCAGGTGTAAAGGGCAGAGCTTATAACAATGATTGACAGGGAGCTAAGATGGAGGTGACTCTCTCTATACTGACTGCCAGGTGTATAGGGCAGAGCTTATAACAATGACTGACAGGGAGCTAGCACATGGGTGTACCTCTATACTGACTGCCAGGTGTAAACGCGGGTTTATAACAACGATTGACAGGGAGCTAAGATGGAGGTGGCCTTCTATACAGACCGCCAGTGTAAAGTGGCAGAGCTTATAAATAATGATTGACAGGGAGCTAAGATGAGGTGACTCTCTATACTGACTGCCAGGTGTATAGGGCAGAGCTTATAACAATGATTGACAGGGAGCTAAGATGGAGGTGGCTCTCTCTATACTGACTGCCAGGTGTAAAGGGCGGAGTTTATAACAATGATTGACCGGGAGCTAAGATGGAGGCGGCTCTCTCTATACTGACTGCAAGGTGTAAAGGGTGGAGCTTATAACAATGATTGACAGGGAGCTAAGATGGAGGTGGCTCTCTCTATACTGACTGCCAGGTGTATAGGGCGGAGCTTATAACAATGATTGACAGGGAGCTAAGATGGAGGTGGCTCTCTCTATACAGACTGCCAGGTGTAAAGGGCAGAGCTTATAACAATGATTGACAGGGAGCTAAGATGGAGGTGACTCTCTCTATACTGACTGCCAGGTGTATAGGGCAGAGCTTATAACAATGACTGACAGGGAGCTAAGATGGTGGTGGCTCTCTCTATACTGACTGCCAGGTGTAAAGGGCGGAGCTTATAACAATGATTGACAGGGAGCTAAGACGGAGGTGGCTCTCTCTATACTGACTGCCAGGTGTGATGGGCGGAGCTTATAACAATGATTGACAGGGAGCTAAGATGGAGATGGCTCTCTCTATACTGACTGCCAGGTGTAAAGGGCGGAGCTAATAACAATGACTGACAGGGAGCTAAGATGGAGGTGGCTCTCTCTATGCTGACTGCCAGGTGTAAAGGGTGGAGCTTATAACAATGATTGACAGGGAGCTAAGATGGAGGTGGCTCTCTCTATACTGACTGCCAGGTGTAAAGGGCGGAGCTTATAACAATGATTGACATAGAGCTATGATGGAGGTGGCTCTCTCTATACTGACTGCCAGGTGTAAAGGGCAGAGTTTATAACAATGATTGACCGGGAGCTAAGATGGAGATGGCTCTCTCTATACTGACTGCCAGGTGTAAAGGGCGGAGCTTATAACAATGATTGACAGGGAGCTAAGATGGAGGTGGCTCTCTCTATACTGACTGCCAGGTGTAAAGGGTGGAGCTTATAACAATGATTGACACTGAGCTAAGATGGAGGCGGCTCTCTTTATACTGACTGCCAGGTGTAAAGGGCGGAGCTTATAACAATGATTGACAGGGAGCTAAGATGGAGGCGGCTCTCTCTATACTGACTGCCAGGTGTAAAGGGCGGAGCTTATAACAATGATTGACAGGGAGCTAAGATGGAGGCTGCTCTCTCTATACTGACTGCCAGGTGTAAAGGGCGGAGCTTATAACAATGATTGACAGGGAGCTAAGATGGAGGTGTCTCTCTCTATACTGACTGCCAGGTGTAAAGGGCGGAGCTTATAACAATGACTGACAGGGAGCTAAGATGGAGGTGGCTCTCTTTATACTGACTGCCAGGTGTAAAGGGCGGAGCTTATAACAATGATTAACAGGGAGCTAAGATGGAGACAGCTCTCTTTATACTGACTGCCAGGTGTAAAGGGCGGAGCTTATAACAATGATTGACATGGTAAAAACAAAATATAAAAAGGAAGAAGGGCTGCGCCAAGCTAAATAAACAGTATTCAGTCCAAATAATGGCAGTGATATAATAAAAGTCCAACCTAAAAAAGTGTCCTCTCTGCCGTCCTAGGGTACAGGAACAGGATCTTCAGGTATGATATCAAAAATAAAAGGAGAGAACAACCGATAGTGCAGATTGTCTGTATCAAGTGAAGTAAAATTCGAATAAAAGTATCAAACTCACAATTTTTTAGAGCTTCTGTCCAGCTCTAGGGTAAAGCGCACACAGCAGAATAATCCCCGCTTATGGGATATGTGGTGAGTGTCGGTTCTTCAGTAGTGATGTCGCGAACCCGAAATTTGTCTCCTCCTCCTCCCTGTCTCCCCATCTGAACTTTCACCCTGTTCTTCTTCTTGACGAGCGGGCACCCACGTGACATCCATGGACGCATCGTCATCATCAACCGCTTCACTTGTATCTGACATCTCAGCAAAGGAAGCAGCAGCGGGTACAACATCATCATCATCATCACACCGTACGTCCATGTGTGTAATGCTGCCTGCCTGAAACATATCCCTGTTATCTACATCCTCTGGCAATAATGGTTGCGCATCACTCATTTCTTCAAACGGATGTGTGAATAACTCCTCTGACATACCAACCGAAGCGGCTGTGGTGCTAGTTTTGGTGGTGGCGGCAGGCGGGTGAGTGGTATCTGAGAGGTGCCTGAAGCTAAGCTGGAGGAGGATGGTGCGTCAAGGTTCTGAGCGGAGGCTGTAGAAGATTGGGTGTCCTGTGTTAGCCAGTCAACTATGTCCTCAGAACTTTTCAAGTTCAGG